CGAAGAATAGAAACCATTTAGATTATGTTAACAGGAACACTAATTCTTTGTCTTCCACCAAGAATTTTACATACTAAAGAAAAAATATGTTACTACTTTCTTTGGATCAACTAATTCTGGGGTCATACCATTCCATTCTTACATTGGTGGATATATTTTCCTTATGGTATGCTGATATTATTATTATTATTATTATTATTATTATTATTATTTTTTTGCTGATATTATTATGTTGTGCTGACATCACTATGTTTTGATATATTGTGTGTTCTACTGATTGACTTGATATATTGAATTTATCAATGATTTTATAAATTTGAATATATGTTTGGTTTCCCGCTTGAGGATGATTAGAATGATATAAAATCTTGGTGCACAAAAAAAAAATATATGTTTGGTTGTCCTGTTAAAAAAAAAAGAATATATGTATGTTTGTACCAATACATGAACATTTACTATTCATGGTTATACCATGTTGCCTTGACATATGTTTTCCTGTTTATCGAGTCCGGGCTTTGCTTTGGTTTAAAATCATTAGCTTGTTCCAACAAGTAGCTTCTTATCTAACATTGCATGCTTTGCCCAAAAAAAAAATCTAACAAAGCATGCACTTTCAATTGATACAACTAGGATAATCAGGCCCATCTCTACCCCATGGCAAATTAGGCAAATATCATGGGTCTACTATTAATTTCAAGAAAGTTTAAATTTATGGATAAAAGGCCACAATTTTTTTTATTTATTTTAGTTTACTAAGCGATTTTAGATTTTTTTATATTTTGTCCTAGGTCCAATTATATATTGAGACGGGCCTAGAATTACCATATTTCATTTTGAGGCATAGATCATGAACATGTCCGGTCTTAAGAAAACCCAAATGATAATGAAAAAATTTGAACTCATTTTAAGAAGTTAAAGACAGGAAATAAAATTTGGTTTTTGAATTTTTTTCTCTTTGATATTTTATGGTAAATTGTTAAATGATCTTCTATGTCTTTTAGTGTTTCTTTGAACACATTTTATAGGTTTCTTTTATATTTTTTATCGAATCTTTTAGTCGAGAACATGTAGTTTTCGATTTCTTTTAGTGTTTTCAGGATTCTGGACATGCGGCATGGAAATGAGGTTTTTAGAGGAAGAATTGGGCCAAACGTGTCAAGAGAAAAGATGATCCAATAAGTGGACCGACCGACTAAGAAATCAAACCGGTCGACATGAAAGTCGCCTCTAACTGATCAGTTGGACTTATAACCGATCGGTTATGTTTTTGTAAGCTTCTATTTATTTATTTTTAGGGCTGCATTTCAAAGCCTATATATTCTCATAAATTTTGTATCCATAGAGCATACTTTTCTGTATGATTTTTTTTAATAGTTTTAAGGTGTTCTTCTTCTTCTTCTTTGTTTATTTGTTTAAGATTATCAAAACCTTTTCGTAGTCCTTTCTCTAAACTCTTGATCCTTCTTTTGCAATAATGATCATATGTACTTAGGTCATGTGTGAGTAGTCTCATCAAAAAGTCTTAGGGACTCCAAAGGAGATGACCATATAAACACCTTTATATGTATTTCTCTTGATATGATTTATATTTGTTCTATATCTTTAATTGTTTTTAGAGCCTTAGATGAATTAGGCCAATTCCCTTATTGTCCATGATATAATACTTCAAACCACCAAAAGTGGTGTTGAATTGATGGGTTTATTATTATGTAGGCAAAGCTTCTTTAACCAACCTAGCCACAAGTTGTTGTTATCAAGCTTTGTGAATTTATTGAATTCTTTTCTTAATGCTTGATTAGATTACTTAGAACAAGCCTAACCAATGTTTATGGATCTCTATAGTCTTTTCATATGAATTATTACTAAAACGCCATTAGGATAATTCATAATAGAAATCTAATTACAAGAACCTTTATAATCATAACGGAAAAATCACATTTTTAACCTTCAAAGTGTCAATGGGTAGCACTTTAAACCTCAAAAGAATTTCACTAACATTATAAACCACCAAGATAATTTTACTAACACTTTAAACCTTCAAACTAGCTTTCGTGTTTGCACCGCCATAAAAATGATGAAATAGTTAATTTCTGTTTGTTTAATATTAATTAAATTAATTTAATTTAAATGTGAATTAATTTTATTATTTATTATAATTAATAAAAATCTAAAAAAAACTTCATCTTCTTCGTTTACTCACCGTCAGGCCATGAAAATTTCTTGATAAACCTCTAAAACTAGAGAAGAAGCACAATAAAATTTTATATAGAAGAAAAAAAACTAAATAATGTAGAATGTAAGGTAAAAGAAAAGCTTAAAATAAAATAAGAAAAACTAAAGAATGTCGAAGCTTAGCCAAAAAAAAAAATCATTCTCGGTATCGGAGGAATCTTTTGGGAGACTGATCTGAAAGCGATTTCACTCTCTCGAGTGGATAAATTAGAATCTCTTAATACCAATTGCAACAAAAGATGGTGAACATATACAAAGAACTGATAAAAATATAAAAATATTGTGGTCGGACGGTGAGCAGTCGAAGATGATGAAGTTTTTTTTTTTTGACTTTTTAATTAATCGTAAAATCATAATAAATAATAAAATTAATTAAAATTTAAATCTAAATAAATATTTTTTTAGTAAACAAATAGAAATTGATTGTTCCATCATCTTTTATGGTGGTGCAAACAGGAAAGCTAGTTTGGAGGTTTAAAGTGTTAGTAAAATTATTTTGGTGGTTTATAGTGTTAGTGAAATTCTGTCGAGGTTTAAAGTGATACCCAGTGATACTTTGAGGTTTAAAAATGTGATTTTCCTATTCTCTAATTCTTATATATTATATATCTATTATTTTTTATTTATATACTTATTTTATTATTTACTTTATTAATTTTATTTCTACAAACTTCACATGTGTTCCTACAACTGCTAATTGTTCTAGTTTAGTTTAATACTATATATGATAATGTGTCTTTCTTTGGTCTCTGCGGATTCGATCCCTAAATACTACTACTTTAGTATGTGCACTTGACTTTTATTGGTAAATTTTACTCGTATTATAAATGTTGAATAATTTTTGACAGACAAAATGTCAATAAATACCTCAAATTTGAAATTGTTTTTTGAAAAAAACACAGAGTTTGTGTTGACCGAGTCATTTTCCAAATTAAGAAAAAAAATCAATGTTGATAATCTATTAGAATATAGTAACTTTGATTTTATTTTTTGGGATCTGAAATAGCTTAGTGACCCAAACCCAAATTATCTCAATTATCACAATTTTAAAGGTATTATTTTGATAATTTGTTAGAAATATCCTTTCTTTGATACCTCTTTTCAAAAATACCCTTTTCTAGTCATTTTTCATTTATGCCCTCTTTTAATTTTTAATGGTCATTTTACCCCTATTTGAAAATAATTAAGTCAACAAAATGACAAAAATGAATTTTCATGCCAAAAAATTTTCCGACAAAAATTTTCCCGTTAAAGAAAAGTAATCCCTTAATTTTTGACGAGAAACATGATCCCAAATTTTTTTTGTGGGATATGGATTTACAAAGAATTTAAAAGGATTTTAGAAGGGTTTACAAGTGTTTTAAAAGATTTGCAAGGGTTTTTTAAAAGGGTTTAAAAGGATTTACAAGTGTTTTAAAAGGGTTTTAAAAATGATTAATAAGGGTTTTTGAAGGATTTTAAAAGGATTTTAAAAGGGGGTTTTAAAAGGTCTTAAAAGGTCTACAAGGGTTTTAAAACATTTACAAGTGTTTTAAAACGATTTAAAATAGATTTATAAGGTTTTTAAAAGGATTTACAAAAGTTTTAAAACAAGTTTATAAGTGTTAACAAGGATTTTTAAAGGTTTTAAAAGGTGTTACAAAATTTTTTTTAGGATTTTCAAGGATCTACAAGGGTTTTAAAAGGATTTTATAAGGGTTTAAAAAGGATTTACAAAGGCCAGAAAAGATATACAAGAGTTTAAAAAGAATTTTATAAGGGTTTTTAAATGATTTACAAGGGTTTTATAAATTTTCGTCTTAAAATTTTTTGGTGGGAAAATGTTTTGTCGGAATTTTTTTTTATTGTTACAAAAAAGTTTTGGCAAGAAAAATAAAATTTGGCCGAAAATTTTAATTTTCTCATTACCTTCTCTCAATTAAGAAGGATAATTTAGTCATTTGAACACATAAAGAGATGTATTTTTTTTAAAGAACATAGAAAATAGGGTATTTTGCAGATGCTCCTTTATTTTTACTATTCAATGTTAACTACAAATGTCTTCTAAAATAATTTTTTATTTAAAAGAATTCAAAACTAAAAATGTAGTTAAAATTGAGCAATCAAAACTACTATATATATATATATATATATATATATATAATTTTGATAGCTTTATTGTTAAATATATATATTTTAAATTTAGTATTATGAAGTTCAAATTTTTTACTTTTAACCAATGTGGGCTACGAATAATTTTTCGATCTCACTTAAAAATGGTATTGGGCTTTGCAATACCGAGCCCACCGTAGAAAAGTACATTTAGTCTTTTAATGAATCATTGTCCCCTTTTGAAACCCTAATCTTTTGTTGTGACACATATTCTCGTCTCTCCTTCTCCAGTCCTTGCGGCGACGCAAGAGGTAAATCCTTAATTTTTCAGTATCTTCTTGAAAATTCTTTTGAAACCCCAACCTTTTGTTGTGGCTACATGATTTATTATGGAGTTCAAATATTTTACTTTTAACCAATGTGGGCTACGAACAATTTTTCGAAGTCATTTAAAAATGGTATTGGGCTTTGCAATACCGAGCCCACCGTATAAAAGTACATTTAGTCTTTTAATGAATCATTGTCCCCTTTTGAAACCCTAATCTTTTGTTGTGACACATTTTCTCGTCTCTCCTTCTCCGGTCCTTGCGGCGACACAAGAGGTAAATCCTTAATTTTTCTGTATCTTCTTGAAAATTCTTTTGGAACCCGAATCTTTTGTTGTGGCACATTTTCTCGTGTCTCTTTCTCCACTCCTTGCGGTGACGCAAGAGGTAAATCCTTAATTTTTCAGTATGTTCTTGAAAATTCTTTTCTTTTCTCCAATTTATCGAGTTTCTTGAATTTATTCTGTACTTCGTCCAATATATTTTTGTTAAAAGCAGCAAACAAAATCTACATATTTTAATTCAATAAACTTTGAGAATTCCTATCATAAAGTAATACTCAATATGGAGATTAAAAGATGTGAGAATTTACATGTTTTTATCATTAAGGATGATTAGAGTATACTCAGAAAAAATAAACTAGATGTTGGCTTAAAATATTTCAAATTTTTTATTTTAGACCAATATTTCATTAATTTATTTTGTTATTACCACTACAAGAATGATATTTTGTGTCACTTATTTATATATATATGCATCAGTTATAATGGATGCAAATTAGTTTTTACATCACTTAAATAAGTGACTCTGAAAGTGATGATGCAAATATTTTTCATTAGTTGAAATAAATATTGACATTGACTATTTGTTAACGTAGGTAATTTAAACTTAATGGAAGTCAACAACGGTAGAAGAAATGTAGAGATGAAATCAGAACACATCCCTGACTGGACTAAGCTGAATTTGGATTGTCTCTTCGATATTTTCTCAAGGCTGAGCATACAACAAAGATGTGTGGCACCAATGTTGGTTTGCAAGACGTGGATGAACGTGTGCAAAGACCCGTTTCTCAACTCGGTCTTCGATCTTGAAGGTTGGTTTCTTTCTTCCACCGAAACGAGCAATCGGTGGACTTCCAAATTTTCTGAAAAGGTCGACTCAATCCTCATGTCTGTTGCTGAATGGAGCGAGGGCGGTCTCAAAGTGATCCGAGTGAGGCATTGCACGGATCAATCTCTCTTGTACGTCGCTGATAGGTACGTCTATAGAAAATTCTAATATTCCCTATGTTTGCTTGATTCTATGAAAGATTTGATTGAACTATAGTAAAATTTCATACACTGAAAGTGAAAACATTTTTTAAAAAATTTATAAGATATATATAGGTCTTCCACTTAGAAAATTTATTTTTAGCTGAAAACTCATGATTCTTGATAGATTACTATATAGAATTTGAGAATATTTTGGGTATCCAAATATCTTACCAAATTCTATGTTCAATAATCTGATTTGTAGATGTCCTAATCTTGAGGTACTTTGGGTTAAGCATTGCCCAAAAGTTACAGATGAATCGATGGGGAAGATAGCCTTAAAGTGCCCTAAAATCATGGAACTTGATATAAGCAGCTCTTATGCACTTACTCGTGAGTGTATGGGAGTGTTTGGTAAGAACTGCAAGAATCTTCAGATTGTGAAAAAGAATTATGTGTATCCAACCGAGGTCTCGAGGTTTGAGTCTCATGAAAACTATATGGAGAATCTATCTATCTTTACTTTGGGGAATATTGATGCTTATGTGATTTCGAGATACATGCAACATGTTAAGCACCTGGAACTTCGATTCAGCACAATGACTGATAAAGGGTTTGCCTCTATTTGTAAACATTGTGTAAATCTAGAGTATCTAGACTTGTCCGGGTCTCCGAACTTGACGATGGATGGCGTTATTAACGGTATCTCGATTTTGAAGAATTTAAAGGAGATCAAGAAGCCAAATTCTACAGCTTTCTTTTTCATTGACCTCTTATAGTTTTGTGTTAATACTATTTTCTTGCCTTGGTTGAATTTGAAAATGTCAGTTAAATTTTTCTTTTGGGGGTTCCTTTATCTTTTCTTGTAATTGGTTTCTAATTTTACAGCAACACTAAACTATTACAAATTTATCAAATTTTGTAAGAAAATGATTGTGTTCTACTTTCTTTGTTTCACAAAAGTTTAATTATCTTTATAAACAAAGTTTTCTCTTTTACAAATATTGTTGTCTTAGAAGTTTAATGTAACTTTTTGGTAACAAATTAACTAATCACTCTTGTTCAAATTAATACACAAAGTAGAGTAGACAAACCGACACAGGTTCAACTCAATTTTTGACCACTACACATAATATCATTAGAAGAAGATGAAAAAAAAAAATACTCAACACCAGATAATAAGAAAGGTTGTTAAGCCCATTGGCCTAGTAATCAAGAATTTAAAAGCTTTTATATTAGAGAAGTTCAATAATTATAATGTGGTCTTTGTATAATTGTATTGTGGTTTCGCGAAAGGATGTAAGAGTGTGTTCTAAGTATTTTTTCAGAAAATTATTATGTGAGAATCAAGAAGTGGATATGAAATATTTCCAACATGTAGAGAAAACAATTCGGTATGTATAATATGTGATTAACTACACTCATATTTCTCGATGTATTACTGTATTCTAATATCTTCAAAATTTTCAACTACACTCATATTTAAACACATGATTAAATTATCGGATTTCTCGATGTAATTTCAGCATCGGAGGAAGAAGAAGAAAACATGGAAATTAAATCTGGAGATACAACATTATGACTTATGAGTATATATATAAAAAGAAATGATCCTATATACACAAATTCCACTTTTGTCTCAAAATAAAAAAAATAGATACAAATATTTATATGTGTATAGATGGAAATGATCAATATAATATATTATATGCAAATTACACAAACTCTCATATCTATTTACCACCCTGCACTAGCCATCCTCCGAATCTTTCTCAATTTGTCTCCTTTCTTCTCTTTAGTCACTTGTTTGCTTCTATTTATTATCTGCATGCCATTCGTTAATTAATTATAATTAGTTTTTTTTTTAGCCTGAAAAATTCCAGATAAAAATTCATAGAAATCCATTTTTTATAATAATTTTATGGTCGCTAAATTGTGAAGTAAAAGATCACTTGAAAAAAAAATCGATTTCGATCCTAATTTATGAAGAAAGTTCTTACTTTAAATAGAAACCCCTAACCCATCAAAGCTTAGTTATTATCACTAAAGTTTGTTAAACCAAACTAATATTTATATTTGTTAGATACTGATATTCATACTTTATAATGCTCTTTAGAAACCGATGCAAACTCCTATGAAGTCAACTTTGAATCCAACAATATGACATATATAAATCCAAAATGATGTATTTGATAATCCATATTCGTTAAGTAACCGTTTAGTACATATGGAAATTGGAGTATTATTACCTCTTGCCTTCTTTTCTTTTCATTTTCCTCCTAGCAAAAAGTAATAAATTCAAAATGGTTGGTATGATTTTTTTTCCAAATAAGAATATAGCTTAATTATATTAGTCGTTATAATAATGTTTTATCGAGAAATTACCACAATTTCCTTCAGCTTTGTGTTTTCTTCCGTGAGGTTGTTCAGTTCCAACTCCAATTCAACAGTATACGCCTATAACGAGTGAAACAAAAATTAGTCTCTAAACCGGATTTAACCAATGACCATAGTCATGTTATACAAAATCAGCTTCTATATCTTTTGGTCCAGACTCTGATTTACCTGTCTCCGGGCTCGAGACCGAGCCGCAGATTCACGGTTTTTAATCATCCGCCGTTGTCTCCGCTCCATCAAAATTTCAGGTGGACCATCAATTATCCGTTTCTTGATCCGAAAAGCATCTAAACCGGTTAAATACTGATTACTTCTCCCATTCCCGGTCATACAGCTTGAAGATTCCCCCAAAACCGAGTAAAACGGCCGGTTATCACTATAAACCGACCGGTTATCACCATAATTGTTTTGGTTCTGACAATGTAAACCAACTCCAAACTCCGGGTTATAACCAAAATCAGAACTCGACATCCTCATCGTTGTCTTCAATGGTTCTTGTACAACACCAGCTTTAACAAGAAAATCCTCGAGCGTGATCTCACCAAGAGTTTGTTGCCGGCGAATATCTTCGTCGGAGTTTTGACCGGAATTTGACGACGGTGGATGTTGTTGTACGCCGTTTTGTATCTCTAGCCAAACCTCGTCCACGGTTTTCTTGCATAAAGGCACGGGGAGGGACAACGACCCTTGACGTGGAAGCACCGCCGGTTTCTCTCGGTCGTGGTGGGGCCCACCTCTTCCGTTGTTGTCGTTTTCTTCAACGGTTGTCCATAAGTTCGCTAGGAACTCGTCCATGTTCATCGCTCCAAAGCTCTTACCACTTTTCATCTGAATTTCGTCAAGAGTTAGTGACAAAATCGAGTTTTGTCTCCCTACCGGTTCCTCCTCCGACAGAAACGTTTGCATCTGCGGTTGTGTTTGGATTTCGTGGTTGTTGTAGACGTGGAAGGTCGAAGTCTCGGATTCAAAAACCGACATCGTTTGGAAAACCTATAAATCTTGAAATATTAACATGCATTCATATATCAATCTAAGAGTATAAAAGTGACATAAAAAGATAATTTGTTACCTTGAAAAAAATTGTGTAATAAAGATGAAGAAGAACAAAGGAAAATAGTTAAGGATTGTGTCAGTGGAAACTGATACTTTTAAAAGGAAGAAGAGGCGGAGTTTACTATGGTGTATATATATGCATGCATGCGAGTGATATTTTTTTTATGAACAAAAAAAGAGTTATTTGAGTTGTGAAAAAGAGTGTAACTGCCAGAGCAAAAATAAAATAAGATGAAATTTATTAATTTGGTACGTCGAATCTGGATTCTATAATTTTCCTTTTGATTGACACGTTCATGACACTTGTCTCACAATTTCTGCTAAAATTCTTCTTGCGAAATTTTATCTTACTTTTACTCGTATACGGATTTTTACCTCATAGCTAATTGGCCAATCATATCATGGATAAATATCATCGTAAGCGTTTTGTATGAATGTCCAAGATAACAAAATAATTTATATTGTACACGTTTTTGAAATATCTTCTAGAAGTTTATTTTATATTATAAGCCTTAATACATACAAACAAATCAAATTAAAAGTATTGGCGTTAATATATAAATGCTGCTTGCTTTTCACATATTCTGCAGCTATTTTCATACTAGATAATGTCGGAGCAATGTGCAGAATTATATCGTTCAATTTTTTTAATATAAAATATATTAGAAACATGTTCTAACCAAAAAATAAAATAAATTTTCAATGTTGTTTTGATGTTGAAGATTGTTAATGGTAATTAATTCAAATTTTAAATCAGTTTTTAAATTTATTTTTATGCATAATAGAATTGAGTGATATTTTGCGATATTTTTGAATATTTTAAAATTATAAAATATCGTAACGGCTGATTCATGTATTTGATTCGACATCTGACTTTTTTTGTACACGCTAAAATAAATTAATATTCTAAACTGATAGTTATCCGAACTGGTACGAATATGGTATTGCATGGCAATTCGGGACACGGATAGGTTGGGTCAAGTAATCCGACAGAGTGGCCGCTAGACTTATGCGGCATCTCGCCTAGCTTCGTTCTTGCAAGCTTATTTCCGCCGAGCTTCGTCTTATCACATGAAGATTTATCTAGACCTAAGGACTTTTTTCATTGAGCTAGATTTGTGACAGTTTTGCGGAAAAAGATTTGTGGGCTGAAATACACCTTCAACAGTATGTTTAATAAATGATTAATATAGGTAAATTTTAATAATTTCAAATGAGGTAAAATAAAAATAATTTAATTTTACCAGCCAAAAAATTAATATTATTAATATTATCTAAATTCTCTCCTTATCTTGATAAATTTATTAAACACATCATCTTTAATATTTAATATTTTCATTATTTGTTGACAAAAGGAATGATTTAATTCAAATTTTTATAAGTTTTATATAATTAATTAATTATTTTTTAAGAATTCAACTGTTATCTGTTTAAATTCTTAGTTTTTTCTCCAAACTTCTGCTAGAAATTACCACTAATTTATGTGAAATTCAGCTAAATTTAAATTCATTCATTTTCAGCCATAGCAAGCATAATTTAGCGAATAATTTTTTTTTTTCTTTTATCATCATTGATTTTTAAAAAACTTTTCTGTGTTTCATAGGCTTGATTGATATGTCAGATAAATAGTAGAATAATTGAACAACTGAATAACTATTAGCAGAACGAATTGAACTGAATAAATTTTTTGCAAATTAATTATAAAACATTGAAAAGGTAGCTTTAGTGAATTAATCATGTGTTGTTTTTTCTACTTGTATTTGTAACACACTAGTGGTATATAGTGGAAACACTTTTCCAAAACGTGAAATTTTTATAAAAATATTTTGAATAGTAGTAATAAATAGAGGAACCATATATTCAAAACGTGGATACATTCTTTCCTAAGTAAATAATGATTAAACAATATTTTTGTGAGATTAGTGTGTTGGCAGTATAAAATTTTATTTTGATATGTGAAATAAAATATTTTATTTATAAGAATTTAAAACCAAAATGATAGCTCAAGTTTTAAAACTCGAGATTACCAAGTCCATGGAAACATTAATCTAGTGTTTAAGGGTCGAATCCAAAAATAAATAAGAATAACTTAGTAAATATAAGGAAAAATGATTAAGCTAAATAAGTAATTGTTTTCGGGGTTTCTACGTACATACTAAGCAAATGAAAGCATAAAAGACCATTTTATTTTTTGTTTTTATTTTTTAACATCTAATAGACCATTGTATTTATGAGTCTAGTTTGAGAGAAAATATGAGTCTATAAGATGAATGTTGACTGTATTTATAAAACATTCAACTTCGTTAGCATATTTTTTTCACCAACTCGACAAAAAGGGGTTATTACGGATTTTACCATTTTTCTTAGTGACATTTATGGATTTTTCCATTTTTGTTAAAATCTTACGAATTTGCCTTTTTGAGTCAATCAGTTGGCTATGAGGCGAGGGCATATCAACGGATCTAAATCCTTGAAAACAACTCATGATTTTCGAGAGAAATTGTCGTAGCTACGAAATTTACCTTTCCGTGTAATGGATAAAATAAATATGTCATAGATATGAAAAATTCATAAGTACATATATATTTTACAAATAAGAGAATTCGACTTTTGTCAAACAAAATCAAAGAATCAAGCAAGAAAACGAAAAAATTTAAGAATAGTGACTTAGTCTCTAAGCTGGCTCAATGATCACATCTTTTGGTTTGTACATTGGGAGATGTTCTCCTAAAAGAAGTGATTTTAAAATCGCATCGCATACACCGTCGTAGTGCACGATCAGGTGGCCTCCTTTAGGGACCTCATGGTACCTAATCCACGGTAGCTTGCGGCACAAACATCTTTGCAGCTGAAATGGCATCACTTTGTCTTCGTAGCCTTGCCATATGTGAACAGAAAAAGAGCCCTTTTCGGGTCGAGACAGAGACGGGTCCGGTAGGTCGGCCGGATCGAAGTCCCAGTCGCCGAATGCCACCAAAAAATCGCTTCTCAGTGTCTCGAAAACGCCGCGTTCTCGTAACTTCTCCTGTGGACAAATGTGGATACTATATGAGTATTCGTAAGTTGACTAAGCAACTCCATTTTTTCTTTCAAGATATCTAGTTCTGAACTAATATCACACTTTGTAATTGAAATAAGTACAATTTAGAAAAATCATGAAGGCTATCAATTTAATTTCTCTACTGTTATAATACATCATATTGGACTTATAACCGGGCCCAATAAGCCCATCAGGGTTATTCATTATGTACTCTAAAACCCTAGGTTTATATGCCTATATATATGTATCATTATTCATGGAATGGAATGAGATAACAATAAGTTTCACAACACGTTATCAGCACGAGTTTGCTCTTAACAACCCTAACCCTAAAAATCACAAAACACTGTTCACGCCGACACTGTTCACGCCGACACTGTTCATCGACACTGTTCACCGATACTGTTCATCGACACTGTTCGCCGATACTGTTCACGCCGACACTGTTCATCGATACTGTTCATCGACACTGTTCATCGGTACTGTTCATCGACAGCGTGAGTTACCGAGGTCTTAAGCTCCCGGTTCAATTCGTTCAACCCCAATTGGTGAAAGGTAAAAACAAAACCTTAAAAGCTTAAAGATCAAAAACCTTGTATTACTTAAACCTAACACTCAAAATCGAAAACACTAAGCCATGGCCGAAATCTTAAAACCTAAATCAAATCAAATCCAAAACCGCAATTTTCGTGTATCCCCTAAACCGGAAATCATTCTCGGTTAACTCCTAAACCCGAATATCAAATCGGTTCATCGGTTAAACCGATTATCAAACCGGTTCGAAAAATAATAACCGGATCTCAATCTGGGTAAACCGGTTCAAACTGGTTATTCTAAACCGGAAATCAATTCGGCCCAAACCGGAATCTAATATTCCGGTCCAACTTTAAACCATTAAACCGAACTTATGTTCCGTATCCTTAAAATTTACGATTCCCGAGAAATTAAACCGAACTTATGTTCTGTATCCTTAAAATTTACGATTCCCGAGAAAGTTTCCTAAAATAGAAACTTTCCTCAAATAGCAAATGACTCAAATAGAAACTTTCCTCATTTAGAAAGTTTTCCTCAAATAGAAACTTTCCTCATTTAGAAAGTTTTCCTCAAATAGAAACTTTCCTCATTTAGAAAGTTTTCCTCAAATAGAAACTTTCCTCATTTAGAAAGTTTCCCTCAAATAGAAACTTTCCTCATTTAGAAGGTTTCCTAAAATAGAAACTTTCCTCAAATAGCAAATGACCCGGAATGAAAACTTTCCTCATTTAGAAAGTTCCCCAATTTAGAAACATTCCTCAAATATAAAGTTTGCTCAAATAGAAACTTGCCTAAAATAGAAAGTTTTCCAACTATTATTTTAACAAACCCCTAATGAAATTTCAAATGTCAAACATTCCGAAAGTCGAGTTCGAGGCCCTCAAGGTCTCCGGTGAAAACTATCTCGAATGGGCCCTGGACACCAGGATTTTCCTCAACTCAAAGGGACTGGGTGAGTGTATCAAAGCGGATAACACCGCATCTGATAAAGACCGGTCCTAGGCGATATTTCATATCCGCCATCATTTGGCCGCAAGCCTCAAACAGCAATATCTCACTCTTGAGAACCCACTCGAACTTTGGGTGGTCCTGAAAAAACGGTATGATCACCAGAAAATGGTGCTCTTGCCACAAGCCAAGTTTGACTGGAAGGAACTCCAGTTCCAAGATTACAAATCTGTGGATGACTACAACTCCGAACTCTTTCGGATAGTTTCAATCATGAAACTATGTGGTGAAGAGGTGTCTGATAATGATCTCCTCGAGAAAACATTATCCACCTTCCATACCCAAAACATTATGCTTCAGCAGTAATATCGTGCAATGAAACATACATTGTACGAAGATTTGTTATCTTGTTTGCTCTTGGCCGAGAAAAACAACGAGTTGTTAATGAGGAACAGTGCCCAGAGGCCCCCGGGATCGGCTCCAGTACCAGATTCCCACAAAGAATCCTACAATGTCCAGCGAGACAGATCCTCAGATCGTGGCCGTGGACATGGGAATGGACGTGGAAAGCGTGGATGCAGAAATGGACGTGGCAACCGACATAACCTCGGTTATTGTTCCGGTAAGGGCCGTGGTATCTCTAAACCAAACCGCCCTGCCCACCCAACCAATCAGTCTGCTTGCACCAGATGCGGAATGTTCAATCACTGGACAAAGAACTGTCGTACTCCCAAGTTTCATTGCGATTTGTATCAGAAACATGGGAAAGCACCTGCTGAAGCTAACATGGCCCAGCAAGTTGATACTGACGACACCACCACCGAGCCGACCGATCCCATGGACTACGAGATCTCAGATCTCCTCGATTGATTCTATCATCTGAACACATAGAAACCCAGGGTGAAGGGAACAAAGAATCCCTACTGATCACTAAGATCACACTTGGCCATAAACAAGTCCTCGAGACTATACCCGCATTATCTACTGGCCTTTACTATGCTAAGGTCAGTATGATTGAGGCTAATAATGCTCTCAAAGCCCAATTCCAAGATTACACTATTTGGCACGACCGGCTTGGTCATCCCGGTACGACCATGATGCGTAAATTAATCCAAAGTTCTCAAGGACACACCCTTCGAGAAAACCGAGTCTTCCCTCAGCACCTCATGTGCACAGCTTGCTCCCAAGGGAAGTTGATCACTCGGCCTTCACCAGTAAAAGTGTCCAAAGAGACATTGCATTTTCTGGAAAGAATCCAAGGAGACATCTGTGGTCCCATTCACCCACCTTCTGGGACATTCCGGTACTTCATGGTACTAATAGATGCTTCGACCCGTTGGTCGTATGTATGCCTGTTGTCTTCTCGGAACCAAGCTTTTGCTAGGTTGTTGGCTCAAATCATCAGATTACGAGCCCACTTTCCAGACTTCCCACTAAAGACTATACGTCTTGATAATGCTGGTGAATTCACTTCCCAAGCGTTTAATGATTACTGTATGGCCATGGGGGTGACCGTTGAACATCCTGTGGCACATGTCCATACTCAGAATGGACTTGCTGAATCATTCATTAAACGAATCCAATGGATTGCTCGACCATTACTCATGAGGTCGAAACTCTCGGTCTCAGCTTGGGGACATGCAGTATTACATGCTGCTGAACTAATACGCATCCGACCATCTAGTGAGCATAGATATTCCCCATCCCAATTATTACAGGGTCATGAGCCAGACATCTCCCATCTCAAAACATTTGGGTGCTCAGTCTATGTACCCATTGCTCCACCACATAGAACCAAAATGGGACCTCAAAGGAGGATGGGAATATATGTTGGTTTTGATTCTCCCACCATCATCAAATATCTCGAGCCGACCACTGGAGACCTATTTAAGGCCAGATATGCGGATTGCCAATTTGATGAATCGGTATATCCAACATTGGGTGGAGAGAAACACAAGCTGGTCAAAGAGCTATCATGGAATCAAACATCCTTAAATTGGTAAGATCCTCGGACTCTAGAATGTGATTCGGAGATCCAAAAGATTATACACTATCAAAAGCTAGCTAATCAATTGCCAGATTCCTTTGCTGACCCGAACAAAGTAACCAAATCGTACATACCAGCTTGTAATGCACCAGTACGAATCACTGTTCCAACGGGACAAGTTCAAGTTGCTACAGAGTCTGCATCACGAAATAAACGTGGCAGACCTCTAGGTTCCAAAGACAAGAATCCACGGAAATCAAAGAAAGGTACAATAGTTGAAACCGGGATTTCCAATATAACAGACATAGCGCGCGCTGAGACTCACTCTAATGAACCACCAGAAGAGGTTCGGGACGCCGGATCTCTAGGTTCTGACGAGATCGATAACAATGAGATCTCTATCAATTACAACATGTCTGGAACCCAATGGAACAGAAAAGAAGTTGACTTAAATGCTCTCTTTGCATACAAAGTAGCACTTGATATTGCGAACACGCAAGAGGATCTAGAACCCACGTCTATCATAGAGTGCACTCATAGAACAGACTGGCTAAAATGGAAAGAAGCCATAAACGTGGAGTTAAAGAGTCTCAAACTCAGGAATGTGTTTGGTCCGATCATCCGGACACCATTCAATGTCAAACCAGTGGGCCATAAATGGGTCTTTGTGCGTAAAAGAAACGAACTCGGTGAAGTCGTTCGTTATAAAGCACGGCTTGTAGCACAAGGATTCTCACAGAGACCCGAAATCGATTATGAGGAGACTTATTCTTCGGTGGTGGATGCAACTACTTTTTGATTCCTCATAAGTCTGGCCATAAGAGAAAATCTAGATTTGCGGTTAATGGATGTTGTCACCGCATATCTCTATGGGCCCCTCGACAATGAAATATACATGAGATTACCAGATGGCATAGAGCTTAAAGATAAGCATGCATCTCGAGATCAATACTGCATCAGGCTGAACAAATCCTTGTATGGACTGAAACAAAGTGGACGTATGTGGTATAACCGGTTAAGCGAATATCTCATCAGAGCAGGCTACAAAAACGATCCCATCAGTCCATGCATTTTCATCAAGAAATACTCAAACAAAGGATTTGTAATCATAGCAGTTTACGTGGATGATCTAAACATCCTCGGAACATCTGGTGAAATCTCCCAAACAGTCGACTGCTTGAAAGCAGAATTCGAAATGAAAGACCTAGGTAAAACTAAATTCTGTTTGGGTTTACAACTTGAGTACGTTAAAGGAGGAATCCTTGTGCATCAAGCGGCTTACATTGAAAAAGTACTCAAGCGATTCAATATGGACCAGGCCCACCCATTGAACAGCCCAATGGTTGTCCGGAGCCTAGGATTGGACAGTGATCCATTTGGTCCCAAGAAGGACGATGAAGAAATTCTCGGTCCAGAAAAGCCATACCTCAGTGCTGTAGGAGCGTTAATGTACTTGGCTAGTCACACTAGACCAGACATTTGTTTTGCCGTGAACCTCCTAGCTCGCTTCAGCTCATGTCCAACTCAGAGGCACTGGAATGGTATCAAACACCTCCTAAGATACCTTCAAGGTACTAAAGACTTAGGACTGTTTTACACTAACCACAACAAGGATGGACTAGTTGGTTTTGCTGATGCAGGTTATCAATCAGATCCGCACAATGCCAAGTCTCAAACTGGTTATGTGTTCACGCATGGAGGAACAGCTATCTCTTGGAGATCGATAAAGCAGACAATCACTACCACTTCATCAAACCATGCAGAACTTTTGGCCATTCACGAAGCCAGCAGAGAATGTGTTTGGCTACGATCCATGACTCAGCACATCCGATCAGATTGTGGTATGAAAGAAGATAAGGAGCCCACGGTTATGTTTGAAGACAACGCGGCTTGCATTGCTCAACTCAAGGAAGGTTATATCAAAGGAGATCGGACGAAGCACATCCTACCAAAATTCTTCTCAACCTCGGATTGGCAGAAGGATGGTACGATCAGCGTTCAACAGGTCCGATCATGCGATAACTCCGCCGACCTTTTCACCAAATCATTGCCCGCTTCAACACTCCGGAAGCTCATCCAACAAATAGGAATGCGTAGACTTAGAGATCTACGGTGATGCTCTAATCAGGGGGAGTAATGCGTGTTGTACTCTTTTTCCTTCACCATGGTTTTTCCCACTGGGTTTTCCTGGTAAGGTTTTAATCAGGCAACATTCCCCAGCGTATTATCGAGATCCCGATTGACCATCAGGTCCGGTTACTCCGTCCAAGGGGGAGTGTTATAATACATCATATTGGACTTATAACCGGGCCCAATAAGCCCATCAGGGTTATTCATTATGTACTCTAAAACCCTAGGTTTATATGCCTATATATATGTATCATTATTCATGGAATGGAATGAGATAACAATAAGTTTCACAACATCTACCTCTTTATGTTTTTCTCATTAAAATTCTGGTGGAAATTGTCATAAACAAATTTAAGTAACATGACTGTTGATAATCGAAAGGTTAATTCAATGAGTAAACTATATTTCTTCCCCATAGATACTTATTCTAATCACAATTTTTTTTGGGTCGTGTACAAATCACTATGATATAAATTATAATAAGTAAAACTCTTAATTAAATTGTTGAAAATGGATGGCTTGATAATTTGGTCTCCTAGATCAAAGTCATGGATAAATATTGGGTGTACACTTGGTGATATTCTAAAGGAATATAGCGGAAAAAGCTCTAAGGGATTATAGTCTTCTTGGTAAAGAGTAATATTTACCTTAGTGAGCATTGGGAAGCCTTTGGTGTTGTGCTTGAGGACTTCGATGTCTTGGTCGTTGAAGTAAACAGGGTTTTTCTCTAGCATCGAATTAGTTGTAGAGAATAAGTTTTGAGTCACCAACCACTTCAGAAGTCCCGGAAAATAGTTAGCGACCCAAACGGACCATTTCACCACTTCTCTTCTGTAGTCATTTTGCATCAGACTCTTTGGAATCGACGGCCACCGGTAATTCACCATCGGAGCCACCATTGCCACTCCTGCTAACCTGTTAAATGTTATTTATTTATGAAAATCCACAATTCTGATAGTAGTATAACAAATACATAATTCTTGTAGATTTGTTTTTTTTTGGTGGCAAATTCTTTTGTTAACGGCTAATGTGTATCAATGGGTTCAAATCATGAAAAGTAAACTACTCACTCAGAAATGGTGAAATCAATGTACTTACTACGAGTCATGTCTGATTGATTCTAGATTTGTTTTTGTATGTACTAGTAAAAAAGTAAATATATTTAAATCTGAAGTTTGAACCAGACTAAAATATATATGCCGACAAAAAAAAGGAACCAGACTAAAATATTTTCAACTAGGCCAAAAGGTGTTTGACTATTTAGTTGAATAGAATTCTGGTTGCAAGGAAGAAAAGAAAACGATTATGTTCTATTTTGAAGATTTTAAATCTAGAGCAATAAACCCATTGAGAGTCCATTAATGATTCTGAGCTTTTTTTTTTTTTTGCCGTCTAGATTTATTATTAATTGCAAATTATGAGAACTGTTACATAGACGATTCTACAACTGACAATTTCTGCCGACCCTTAGTAGATCCACGACAGACTACACTTCCTTCTTCATGATTTTGATGAATACCTTCAATGATCCACGACCTAGCGACACTTCCTTCTCTGCGTAGAATCCTGGCGCACGGCTATAATTGTACATCGCTGGAGATCTCCTGCACACTTGCCTCCATTAATCTGCAAATTTGTTAATAAATCGCAATATCTGGGACTCGAACCCCAGACCTCTTAGTGTAGAAGCATTAATCAACCTTTGGTCAACCAATGGGCCAAAGGGGCTTCCACAATGATTCTGAGCTTTATGTCAACAAATATTAAAAACCAATTGATCCTACAATATGAATTTGAACGTCCTGTCTGACAATTTATCCAATCTTCAAGCAACTATTTTTGCAACATATGGGGCTTGGAAGATTTGTAAGAATTCTAAATTAATTTATAATTTATTTATTGGATAAGATTTATTTACCTTTGAGGAATATGTTTAAGGCAACTCCAAATAGTGTATGAACCCATTGAGATTCCAATGAGATAAAACCTGGATCCGATCTCTAACCGATCCGCCAGTTCTTGAACATCGTGTGCTTCGCTCTTCAATGAACGTTTCGGATTCGGGTCACTCTCTCCGTAACCAGCTCGATCGTATAGCACAAAGTATATCCCAATTTCATTCACAAACTCCTGAGATTATAACTAAAACAAGCCTTATTAGTCTTCAACCAAATCTTTAACAACATCTCCTTTTCTAATTACTTTTAATATTCCTTTTATTGGTGTACTCTTTGGAAAATTGAAAATAGTTTAGCTTTTCAGACATCTATTTTTTCAGACATTCCAAATTAAAGATTACAATTACAAAATCATATATGATAAGTCAGTTTCTTGAATCCAAAATACCCAAAAAAGAAAATAGGAAAAAGTGTTGTTTTTTGCCAAGTCATTTTCAGAAGATTTAAAGTCAAATTTGGATTAAGCACCTTTATCAGAGCAACACTTAGAAGAAAGAAAAGAAAAGACACTGAGAGTTCTTCATTTATACTTTAATTGCAAAATTTGAAGCACATAATTGGGATCTATACAAATTTTGAAAACATGACTCATAAAAAAGATATAGGAATCAAGAAGATCGAGGAAATAGAGGATTAGTGTATACTTGTGAGACATTGAAGTTCATATCTTTGGAGCTACCAAATCCATGAACAAGAACGATGATGAACTTTGCATCATCCTTGGGGACACCTCTTTCCTTGTAGGCCAAGTATCTACCATCGCTTAGTTTGATTCTTCCTTGAGGATCCTCCATTAATTGTCAAGCAAGAAGAAAAACGAAGAAGAAGAAGAATATATCAAGCATTAGGACAAGGAGGAAAGGTAGATCTAGCTGGAATTATTAGTAGATCATCATTATTCTAATTATTAAATTGTTGAATAGTATTATTTGATTTTATTAGCAAAATTGGTTTTCCCTTATTGGTTCGATTATGAATCTTTTAAATAGAATATTTCAAGAATCACTGGAATATTCGGACTGCTAATCTGAAGGAGAGAAGCGAGGGGGCCAGAGAAAGAAAGGACGATTTTACGAAAATGATTTGTTAATAATATTTAACTTAATATCTATAAGCTTTTGCTATTTCTATTATTCTGTATAATTCGATGAACACATACATATTCACTCAAATCAATAGTCATCTTATATATAGTGTTAAGTGTTGCTTAGGCGGTTTCGTAAATAATGGTGCCCTAAAAAAACACAACTGTAAATAATGGTTTATTCTCGGTAAATTGTCTAGAATTTTTTTAAAGTTGTTTTTTTTACGTAAATAATGGTGAGTAAAATATGGTTTTATTCGTGTTTGATTGTGACATATTTAATTAACTTACTCGTTTATGAAATGTATTGATTATAAAAAGTATTAAATGAATAATTATTACGTAAATATGACTAAATTAATGGTAAAAAATGATGAATGGTGAAAAATGTTTATTGTTTTGGGTGGAAAATGATGGTTTCTTTGGATGTAAACGGGTCCAAGCCAAACAATTAGGCATAAGCGCGACGGTCCATAGATCTTTTGTTAATTTTCAAAAATTAATCTTGTAAAAACAATTACAAATAAAATTAGGCCGCAAAATTCAAAACGATTTAACTTTATTTTAAAAAGCCTTAAAAATAGTCACAAATATTTAAAGTTTTCACATTTCTTACTTAAGTTAGGCCCATTTCAAAAAGGTAGATTTATTTGTAAAACCTAATGTTTTATAAATAGGCCCAAATATTTAAAATTTTCACAGGCTTTTTAGTAAAGTGGGTTGGGGTTGAATGTAAAATAATGAGTGGGTTTTGACTTGGTAATGATGGCTACATATTAACGGTCATGATGACCTAACTGTGCTGAATCGTTAGTTCGAGCGTTGAGATGACCAAAATAGGCCGAACCATGTGTTTAAGGGTCGAAATAGGCCAAACCGTGTGTTTGAGGGTCGTGATGACCAAACCAGATGATCAAGGCAGTGGAATGCGTCTAAACCGTGGGTTCGAGGATTATATGACCAAGATTGGCCGAGCACAAGGGTTTGTCACTAAATGACCTAGAGGTGTAGCCAATTTGAAAACAAGAAAATGTGATAATGCTTTTAAGCTAGTTAAGTCATTAGCAAACATCTAACATTGGGAGTTGCATTACCAATAATTATTATCCTTTTTATTGAAATAGAGACTTAACACAAACAATTGTAATTTGTATTTTAGATTGCAAAAACTTAATCGAGAATCTTAGAAAGAAGTCGAAGAGCTCTTTGTCTCCAAAGGTAGGGTTTTTATTCTTCTCACATATCAGTTACACAAAACACAAACTCTGTCTTCCAAATTTGTCACATTTAGCCCAAATGTTAAAGTCTTTTCTACTTTGTCTCTCTGCTAACAACGAAAAATTAGGGTTTTTAAAAGAAAATTTTACCGAATTGAGGAAGAAAAATTAACCTCGAAATTGACTTCATTCTCTCCTTCACCGTTTCAGTTCTTTAGTATCTTCTCTCTTTCGTAGCTTTCTGGGTTTTTGGTTTCGTCCATAAATTCGTGTTTTTGCTGAGTCTCTGTAACTTCCTTGAGCTTGTTCATGGGTGTGATCTCAATAAAGTTTCTGTCTTGAATCTTGGTTTTTCTATTTTTCGATTTTAGTTCGAATTGGGGAGAAGAGAGATGATTGCGGAGAAACCCTCTTGGGTTAAACATGAAGGGGTACAGATATTCTCCATTGATGTTCAACCTAATGGAGAAAGGTTTGCTACAGGCGGTGGTGACCACAAGGTCAGTGCTTTATGTTTCCAGATGAGTTTGCTATTGTTCTGTAGTTAGTTTGAATCGAAATTGAATTGGCATTCGATGTTTTGATGGCTAGTTTACTTGATTTCTTGATCTTATATGAGTATGCTGCTACTTTTAAGATTCTATTCAAAGAGTTAAATTTTGTGGTTCTTGCATTGCTTAGTATGTACATGTGCAGTTCTTGTATCTTATTTTGATTTGGTGATGCGTTCTTTGAACTTTGAGAATGTCTATCCAACACTATGAATTGTGGATTTAGTTTACTACGCCATCGCTTGAGTTCTTCTTGGTTCGAGTGTAGGTAAGGTTTGTAGCATTTGGACCATGTCACTGACATAGCCTTGTTTATCTTTTCCCTCAGTACTGAAACGGGTTGAGTTTGGGTTTAAAAAGTTAAGAAGTGGTTTTCATGCTGTTAATACTCAGGACTGTTTTTGCTTTCATTGTTTGTAATCGTCGAGTGAATGAATACATAGCTGAACCTTTCTCTTATTTGGGATTAGTACTTTTAGTATCAGTAATCGTAATGTCTAATATGAATATAGGTGCGGATATGGAACATGAAGTCTGTTGACAAGGATTTGCAAAACTTAGATACAAAAGAGAGGCTTCTTGCAACTCTTCGTGACCACTTTGGGTCAGTCAACTGTGTTAGGTGGGCCAAGCACAGTAGGTATGTAGCATCTGGTTCTGATGATCAAGTTATTCAAATTCATGAGAGGAAGCCTGGTTCAGGCACCACTGAGTTTGGTAGTGGAGAAGCCCCTGATGTTGAGAACTGGAAAGCTGTAATGACTTTAAGGGGACACACTGCCGATGTGGTAAACGCCACTTTGCTTTTCTATATTATCTTATAGTGGTAATTTCAGTATTATGTAATAACTGAGGTTTTTTTTTTCTAATTATCCTTGAAGTAGGTGGATCTTAATTGGTCTCCAGATGATTCGATGCTGGCTAGTGGGAGTTTGGACAACACAGTGCATATTTGGAATATGCGCACTGGTATGTGCACTACTGTTCTCAGGGGTCACTTGAGCTTGGTCAAAGGTGTAACCTGGGATCCAATCGGGTCATTTATTGCTAGCCAATCGGATGACAAAACTGTGATAATATGGCGAACAAACGACTGGGGCATGGCTCACAGAACAGATGGTCACTGGGCAAAATCGGTATGCAGTATTTGTTTAGCAATTCTGTTAGGATGTATTTACATAAATGAAATGACTTTATAAAGGATTTGAATAGTGATTCTCACTCTGTTATTTGAAAGTTATTACTATTGATTCCCTGTTCTCTCAGGACGTTTACCGCTAATATGATGTGCTAATTTTTATTTTTATTTTTATTTTCTAGCTTGGATCCACATTTTTCAGGCGACTTGGGTGGTCCCCGTGTGGCCACTTCCTTACTACTACTCATGGATTTCAGAAGCCGAAGCATTCTGCTCCAGTTTTAGAAAGAGGGGAATGGTCTGTAGCATATGACTTCTTAGGTCATAGTGCTCCAATCATTGTAGTTAGGTTCAATCATTCAATGTTCAAAAGAATATCCTCTAGTACCCAGGAAACTAAACAAGTTGGGTGGAGCAATGGAACATCAAAGACAGGGGGGAAAGATTTGCAGTCATACAATGTTATTGCAATGGGGAGTCAAGACCGTACTATAACCGTATGGACAACTGGAAGTGCGCGTCCTCTTTTTGTTGCGAAGCATTTCTTTGGCCAAAGTGTTGTGGATCTATCATGGTAAAGTTTTCCCTTTTTTTGGCCAGAATCTACATATTCATGATTTCATGATTTGCAGTTATGTCTCCATAATGGGTTTTTGTTTGTGTCTCAAAAGTGCATTGGGTTTTGCCATTTATTGGTTTTGCCGTTTATGGGTTTATTATGTAGTTAATTTAGGATTCGTATATGAAATCCTAGATTTCTTTTCTAGGGTCATAATTAATCTTCTAAAACATAAATGAAGAAAAGTCTGATTTTTAATCATATATTTACCTTCGGAAATTACAGGAGTCCAGACGGATATTCACTTTTCGCATGTTCCTTGGACGGAACAGTGGCGATGATTCACTTTGACCCAAAAGAACTAGGCGTCAGGCTAACCAATACTGAACTTGACGAATTGAAGAAAAGTCGATATGGAGATGTCAGAGGCCGGCAAGCAAACTTAGTTGAGAGCCCAGCCCAGTTATTACTTGAAACAGCCTCGACAAAGCAAGCCGGTAGTAAGAGGGCGGCATCGGATGTTCAACAAAATGAGGTGACAACAAAACCATCTGCTAGTGTGGAGAGTACTGCAAAAAGGCGTAAATCGCAAGTCGATGATCCGAATAAGGCAGCAGAGGCTACTGGTCACACATTAAATAAAGCATCAACCTTAAATCGGGTATCTAGTCCTGTGAATCAAAAAGTGTATAGAAGGCCTGACGGAAGAAAGAGGATCATTCCTGAAGCTGTTGGAGTTCCCCAACAGGAGAACAATATCACGAATAATGGGCAATCTCATAATTTTCTGCCTGCTTCCGCTGCTGCTCCTAGTAAGGGAGATAGTGGAGATTTTCCTGTGGAGATTAGCAATATAGATTTGTCCGGGAAAGAGATAGTGTGCAGGAACCCTGATCTGAAAGAGCGTTCAAGGATTACAGCTCGTGCTACCATTACTGAGAGCCTTATTATTGAGAAGGTTCCTGGAACCTCTGGTAGAGATGGAGTTTTAAATGTTGAGCAATCTGTAGGTATAAAAGAATCTTCTAGCACAGATCTGTTGATAAGGGTATTCGATTGGAAAGATGGGGAAGCCGCACCACCTGTTTGCTTAGAAGCTTGTCCAAGGGAGCATGCTTTGGACACTGTTGGTGCAATAAGTACATCTATGGTCAAGGAAACTGAGATTTCTTGCAAAAAATCAGGCGAAACTCTTTGGTCTGATCGGATTATAGGGAGAGTCACTGTTTTGGCTGGAAATCCAAATTTTTGGGCTGTTGGATGCGAAGACGGAAGCCTCCAGGTAAGAATAATATTTTTGTTGCATTGATTTGAAGTCCCTGTGTGTCATTATATTTGACGAAGAAAATTTATAGATCAAAGTAGACCATGACTCATGGTGCTTTCCACTTCGGCATTTGGTGTTATTGATATCATTCCTATTAAAACACCTACATTTATTATTTGGATTTTAATAGCATCTATCCCTCTCGTTGTTGATATTCTGAAATATTTTTCCTCCACCAATTTAATTCCATCGGAGTCACTTAACTTTATACCAATAGTAATATTTGTGTTGGGACCTGATCTTCATAGGAAGTGCCTAGTTCAGGATCTGAGGCGATAAGTATATTAATCTCTTGGTGAAGCAATTTCTGAAAGACATATATAACCTGAATGCGATGTGGTTCTCGGTATAATATGTGTTAACATGTTTACTCTCTTTTTTTTGAAGGTGTACACTAAGTGTGGAAGGCGTGCAATGCCTACAATGATGATGGGGTCTGCTGCAACATTTATTGATTGCGACGATAGCTGGAAATTGTTACTTGTAACAAGAAAAGGATCTCTATATGTATGGGATCTATTCAATAGGAAATGCGTTCTCCATGACTCTCTATCTTCTTTGGTCTCTTCCAATGTCAATTTATCTTCCACAGTAGAAGGTATGCTCCAATACTTGAATACATTGCTGGCTTCTAATCGTCTAAAACGTGACTCTTGAAACACTATATTATATTTTGAAACGGATGGGATGGGAAATTCACTAAAAAGAATGAAGAACTGGTATTTACTAATTTTCTC